ACAGATCGTCTCAATACAGGACTCCCAAGTAATCGATTCTAACGACAGTGAAATAGAGCATAATTGAAAAATGGTAGGAGTTTACTCGTACCAAAAGTTTGCTTAGTTATAGGGAAGTGGGAAGGCAAGAAAATGCACGTATACAATGACCGGATCGGTTTCGAAAGGTATCGATTAACTCTGGCTTATGACCGGTCCCTTGCACGGGGGTAAACCAAATCCTTGACCGTTTGCAGAAACATGCGTGCATCGACTAAAAAACAACGAAATATCCCCCACCCCGACCAGCACTAAAATAAACAATTGGCGAGAGCACCATAACGGATGCGGAAAAATGGTCGAACAATTTGTCCAGACCCGACAGGGCCCAAAATAATCGATACAAAACTTTCCGTAAAACTCACCCTTTTCAAACGGAGTGAAGACGAAATTCGGTAGCAAAGAGCGTAATTTGGACGCATTGGCGGTTTTTTTAAACTGGCCATCAGCTTTGCTAGTATCAAACTGGAAGTAACGGTCAAGGAAGCAAAATACACTTTCACCGCAGCAATTTCAACAAAGGATAAAATGGTAACCAGTTTCGCATAAAAACGGTTAACTTATCAGTCACCCACTTTCGCCTACCCATCCTAACATATATTTTGTGTAGAAATCAAATATTTTAAATAGTTACTATAATTAGCCAAACTAAGGGAAGAAAGTACTTTATTTTTTCCACCGAGTTACTATGATGCATTGGTAGTAAAGAGATAATACGGTTAGTAAAATGCTACACACCCAAGTGTTTATATATATATATATGAATGAAAAGACAAGAGACTACTGGATACGCATGACTGACGAACGGCAAGAACCACGAAACCATTCGTGTGCTTCCAGATACGGTTTGTCCAGTCATTCATATACAACGCATTGTAAAGAATATACATATCAACGTCATCCGAGATTCACGACTGGCTATCGCAACCAAACTTTTCGATATTTAGTCCGTTTCTTTTGAACTGTATCGAATTTACTACCCTAGGACTGAAATTGCCCAGTCCCATAAATGAATAGCGGATTTTTGTGATAGTTGAATTAGGCCCTTTCCAGTTACCAATAATCACGCTACGTTGTGTACTGAAAAATATATGGTAGACCACCCAGCAGAGAGCGGATTTGAAACAGAACAAACTGAAAAAGAAGACCACCTATCGGGGCCTTATGTGGCTCGCCACTCCAAATCCCGGGGTTCAGGTTGCCGGTTTCCACCGCCAAACAACAGGTCATCGTGACTATGGGATTCGTCTCGTCTGTTGTTCATCACATTTAGGTATGTAATAGAATAAAATAAAATAAATACAAAGACAATAAGGATACAGTCAACTGGGTACAACCCATTGCATTAGCCACCGCTTGCGCGGCCTGACGAATAGAGATTTCCTGGTCTTCCGGGACGGACAAAATTATCGGAGATGTGTCATTGTATTCGCGCAATGTCCAAATGATTAAGCGACCCAAATCCACGGAATAGATGAACTGGCGGAGCGGGGTACCCGAGCCCCATACAATCAGTGGTTGATTCTGTTCTGAACCGATTCGGATGTGGTGAGACAACACGGTGAGGTGAAAAGACCGAGAAGGAAAGAAGAAGATAACAAGTATGTCACTAGAATAAACCGCCAAAAAAATCTGAAATTGAATGGGTTATCCCAACCAACATTAGATCTTTGTGTGGAACTTTCGTTCACATTTCTGCACCTACCGATCTGGGCGGTGGTGGCCCGGTGGTAACGTCACCAAATTATCACCCCGGAGGACGTGTATTCGAATCCCACCACCACTGCCTGACTTTCCCCATTCTGTGTGTTGTATAGCAGCCCTTTGATTGGCAGCTTCCTCCTTCCTGAAAATTGCATCATTGTGTATTCAATAAAAGGAAGTAGAAGAAAAAAAGAAAAATAGTCAGAATATTATACCTGAGCAAAATCAGGATTGTTTTGCGACGCCGTGACCGACGACTGGATGTTAGGGTATTAGTGGTTTCCAAAGTGATTGAAAACAACATCTAAAAACAATCGATCAAATACACGGCAAAAACGTATACTTAGACAACTAATACAAACTCATCCGATCTACTTTTCTCAATATATAATCAAACGCAAAACAGGTCCATAACACGGTGATTGTGGTGGTGGTGGTTTTTCTCCGTTCATCAGGAAAACTGATGTTCGTCGGTGGTGTTCTAAGTTTACTCTCCTGCTCTTCTGTGTCCCTGAATCTGGTTTTAGAAACTACCACACCTGCTCCGAGCTGGAAGTGTTTTGCTGATGATGTGTCTCGACCAAGATAGGCATTATCATCATCATCATCATCATCATCATCATCATCATTGGTGCGAGTTCGGGGCAGCTACCACACCAAATTTGGGGATATCCGAAATTTATCCAGGAGATAAGCTATTTGATATGAAGTAGGTGAGTGACAGTGTATTGTGGAGAGAAGTAAGATCGTGAAAAGTCGTCAGGTTTCCGGAACCGAGCATGGCGTGAAGGCATCTAGCAACAAAATATCCGGCCACATGGAAAACGGATTCCGTTTCTGCGGAACCAGATCATCAACTATGCCGATTTGATATCCGCTTATTCGTTCTGTAAGCTGCAGCAGTTCCGGTAGATTTGCCACCACACGGTCGTGAAGAATGCATATGCAAGATTATGGATGAATGACTCATGCCGAAAACAATGATTCCCGAGCAACAGTGTGTACTCATCTGGCGAAACAACAGGATGACTATCGCTGAGAATAGACGTTGCGTTGCGAACTGTTCAGGGAGGACTTTCAAGAACAACGAATTGAGTTGGACGCACACAATAAGAGGATTGAGTGTGTTGCCTGAAGGGAATTCGAACCAACTCACGAATGCCATTAACGAATCTGTACAGTGTGCGCTCGATCAGCTGAACTACAAAACTACAAGAATCATCTTACATTTGATTCATGGACCAGTATCACAAAGAACTGAGGGTAAACTAATAAGCGTATGGATCTACTGTGTCAGCAGCTTCTCAAACTGACAAACTCTCACAGATCAGCGGAATGGTAAAGATATATTTTTCCTGGATAAACAGTTGACCGAAATGTACTGTTGTGTGGGTCAAGAAAGGATTATTAGCCACCATAGGACAATTGAGACAGTTTCCAGGTGTCTAAATAGTAATGTTCGTCGACAGTCATTAGGGAAGCAGAAGAGTGGCGGGTATCACGCTGATAAACTGAAAAGATAATCCTGGTCATTGAACTGGATCGTCTGACGACACGTGGCTGTAACACTTGTGACAGATCGTGTTTGCAGCTGCGGCAAAATAGGTGAGATCAGTTGAGTATCGGGAACGATTTCATTCGCATGTCTTCGCAGGCACCTCCAAAAGCTACAGTATGGTTGAGGTGGGTGAATTGAGTTGCGGCTGGTCAACCCCCTCTTGTACCTCGCGAAATGCTGCCATACGACCAAGCGTCCCAAATAGCTTCAGCTGAGGAAGTCCTAATCGCTGCCTTCTCGTTGCGGAGGTATTTCCCACCAAAGTAAGAGGACGAAAAGCCGACATCCGGGGACTATAACCGAGTTGGTGGACCACTGGTAGTTCACCTAAGGGAGGTGGCTAATCAAACCTGGTTTCAACCCAACCAAGATGGAGTGTGGGAACCACATCTACGCACATCTTGGTTGTGGCGGTCGTCATAAGCTTGATTGGACACCGAGATGTATTGGGCACCTTTGACGTTTGACCCCGACCAAAGGGCGTATGATCAAATGTATTGGACACCGGCCCCCCATGAGGTGCGGTTTTCATACATCGCCCCGCTGCTTAACGGGACAGGCTTTGGCTGACATAAAACTCCGGTTGTGAATTCCTCAAGAGAACTCACATGCATTGATTTGGTTATCGCACCTACGAGCAAATAATGGATCTTTTTTCATTTTATAAAAATTATTGTATGTGGATTTGTTTGGCACAATGGTGTGAACAGAGAGGTATGTAAAAATTGAATATAATGATTAGATCATTTCACTACTTCCCCAATAGAGCAGGTTTATTAGATTGCATTGGAATCCTCCATTTTTTCCTCAGTTATCTTCCGCATGAATTGTCAGAAACTGTGACCATAACTAGTGCACGATCGTGTGAGGCGGTTTGATTTCTTGTCAGGAGAAAGCACAATGTTTGTCTGACTCTTTTTTACCAGTTTATCATTTAGCAAACAAAAACAAATACAACCATCTCTGTTTCACCTGCATCGCACTTCTGAACGTCATTGTCATATCAACAGGTAAGAAGTTTGTTGTGTTGCCTTGGATTAAATTTGAAGTTAACAATCTTATTGATAACTTACGGTTCAACAACTGTTTCACAGTTTCCATCTCATTTATGAGTACTACAAACATGGTCTTATGATAAAATTTCTAACACACTTGTTTTTTTGTCTGTCTTCGCTTTTAGTCCTGCGGTTTTAGAAGTCAACAGTCCATAGCACGGAATACCTGTGATGAAATAATCCATCCATGAATCTCAATTAACTCTTTACTCTTCCCCCATCCGTCATGAAACAGCAAGCCTGCATAACAGACAAGCTGTCAAAAGTCTAGACAGGACTCGGTGAATTTTGCCTCGCTAATTATCACTCGCACATAGAGAAAGATCAGCATAAACGCTTACAAAAGTCGTGTAAAGTACCTACGCAGACACACACGCACACACACACACACACAAACACACGCGCATTGACAGGACTCAACAGTACTGAAGTGGATGAAATGAGCTTTCGAAACAAAGTCAAAATGAATCGAATCGACAAGGTCAGCGAGGGGAGGGGAGAATATAATTGCTTTCTTAATTCTCGAAAGGAGCCGAAAATAAATTCCTCTCCGAGACCGAACGGATAGTATTTCCCGTTCGTGGTGTCACCATTATTTGTCCCACCAGGGAAGGCGACACAAGTAAGCAAGAATGAGGGTCAGATTGATCTCACCAACTATTACTGTGGTGACCTGGGTAGCGCAATATCAAACGAAGGAGAGAAAATATTTCCTGTGTATGTATGTATGTATGTATGTATGTATGTATGTATGACAGATAAAGATATCACATGCCCCGTATTATTTTGTCACAGAAAACAACCCCTGTTAGAAAGAAGTTGGACTAGAGTACACAAAACATACATGCACCGGCCCATGTGATACTGATAAACCATGACTGCTTAAGTGGGATTGTTTAACGTAACATGCAAAGCTTTTCATTCCATTTCGCTTGTTTACTGAGCTTGGCAATTTGTTTGCAAACGTTTATCACCAGCCGAGGTGACATCCATCATCAGTGCTTGTGAAAATGTCAGGCTCGGTGAACAGGCGAAATGGGATTCGGTTCCCCCGAGCTACGACAACCGATTTTCAATACTTTGTCAACAAAAGCTTGCCACGTTGAAGGTGTTTTCAGGGTTAACAGACCATTTGACCCTGTATGCTGCATAGTTGAAAAACGAAGATAGATTATCCTGGTTATTTTACTCAATGCTTTGTCGGATGATGTGAACGCAGCGAAACAGTTGTTGTGGTCATGACAGAAGGGTGAGCAAGAAGCATGTGATCAGAAGAGCAACTAACTCACTTTTGGATAGATACGCTTTATGTATCAGACCTGGGAGCACGTGACCTCGTTCGATGTTGAAATTGTCGTAAGGACCGAACACATTGGTCGGGATAACAGATGTATACACGACACCGTACTGTTCAGAATAGGCCCTATAGGGGATAAGGACCACAATGTAAAGAAGTTTTCTATTCATTTGTTTTCTAATAAAAGATAGCAAGAAACTGTAAATCTGGACATTGTTTCAACTTGCTGTCATGGTATGAACAAGACAATGTAACATAACTCAATATATATAAATATTTGTTTGTCACCGGCTTGCGAGCAAGCTTGGTGCAAAACAAGACTAACAGAAAATGGAGAGGGGGATACAAAACGGTGTAAAAGGGGGCCATATAGTCAAGTTAGAAAACGAGAAGAACAATTTTTTATTTGTTTCACCGAGAGATTTGTGATATTTTTGTGTTTGTTTATCGTTTTTTATGGAGTACGGGAATTCAACAGGCAAACCGTACAGCATTCGCGCCAGTGACTTCTATTCTGGGCCATATCTCTCAGCTTATCTAACCAACGACAATCCTTATCCCTTGGGCCCCAACCTGGAAGGCGAGCTGCACCAACAGAAGCAATGTCATGGTCTGACAGCCGCTGCGCTTCTTCCAGCCTTGCCCAGCATGTGCAAAAAGAGCACAGAAAAGTAGACGATGCGCATGCATACGCAATACGTGACCAAGCCATCGGAAGCGATTAGTTCTGTTAGAGAGCGACTATCCACATCCAACACACGACGACGGACCTCGTCAGTGCTCACCCGATGTTCCCTCCAGACACGAGCAATGCTTTGGAGACATTGGTGGTCGAATACAGAAAGTCGATTGGCATCCCCCACTCGGAGAGGCCAGGACTCGCAACCGTAAAGCAGAACACTACGAAATGCGGCGAAGTACACCCATCCCTTAGGGGGGCAGTTGAATATCATAGCGGCGCCACAGGTGTCGCAGGTTGGCGAAAGCCGCTCTAGCTTTCACTATTCGTGATGTGATCTGCCCAACACCAACACCAGCTGCGATCAAGCTCCCGAGGTACTTAGACCTCCGGACCACTTCCGGCTGATTACCACAGAGAATGAGTGCAGGAAAATGTTCCGGCCAGTCTTGTGCAGCACACAATCTAGCACATCCATTTTCCTCTATATATTTGAAATTGAAGCTTTATGCAACATCAACAGATGTGTGTTTTTATTGCGTTGCTTATCCCGGTAAAACGAAAGTTGTGCGTTGTCTCCTCAGTGCAAGATGTTCAAATAAGTTGGACCATTTTGCGCTAACAATTGAACTGGTTCCGACGGAAACACATGAACGAATTTCATTAAAATTTCTTAAAAGGACATAAAAATTGCATTCGACAAGGGAGGTACTGTTTGGAACGCGTGGAAACGTGGAACATTGTCCAACACTTGACAAATCCTACACAATGGGCCATCTGACTGTTACTGAAGAATGTAATCTCGCTGACGTGGTCAGCTACCGCTTGAATACGTTATCACATATTTATGATGGTTTGTTTTCCGAACTCATTACTTCGTTTCTGACTGGCTCATTATCACACCAGGTTAGATGATGAGCATAACCTGGAACTGAACCCCCCCTCCTGTTCCGATATTTATCTGTCAGAGCTCGGAAGACAACTTGCCACTCTATCAATTCTGTTCGAGCTAGAGGTACGTGATCGCGTCCGTGCATGCGCGCATGTATGCTTAAGCGAATGGAGTGAGCCTAAAATGAATGAGAAAATGCGGCAATTCAAAGGTGCAGTGAGAGAGTATGTGGAGAACATAACTAGCCCATCGATTCGGGATCGGACACACAAATCACACGGCATATTTACCGATTCAACACATCAATCATACGTTTCGCGTATGAATAGCCGTAGTTCGAATCGTGTGGCGGACCGTTGTGTACCATAGTCTCATCAATCGGATAGGTTGTTTGATCCGGGAATATACACGTAGATAGACAGGACACGACTTTGCGGACACCAACAGAGAAGCTGCTAGCCAAAACATTATCGTTGATAAGCACATTCTGACGCTAAAATGTGAGTGGGGTGAAAATGGGCGTTTGTCAACAACTATTCGAGGACATGAGCAAATTGGAACGATACCCAGTGAATGAATAAATGAACACTTGATTGGAAATGGTGACAATGAAAATGGACTATTTCCTAATTTAACCATAATCGAAGTGCAGATTGTTCATGCTCAAAATGTGATATCAATGTACAAAATGAAGTGGCAGCAAAAGTTAACTTTTACAACTACTTCGTTCTTCAGACCAACAGTTCATTGTGTCATGCCAATGAACGATGAAAACCTCATAATATGCACACACCGACCTTGCTTGCCCAGTTCTAAATGGGGAATCGGAATAACTGTTTCGGTTGTGTGTTTGGAGGTGTGGGGAGGCATAATTTGCCCTGTTCTTTACGACATTGCAGTATATGCGATTTTGAAAGTAGTCTATCTTCACCCGGGGATGGCTGTATTGATGTGCCCTCGGACAATAAGTTGTCCGACCTATAGAAGAGACAGACAATGCCACACTGTAGAATGAAGATCCAGTCAAAAGTCACAAGCTTCTCAAGCTGGTTTGAATGTTAGTTTACAGTAATGCAATGAACAAGGCAATTGCTAGTTTGAACTGGAATGCTGAATATGGTTAGTTCACTTCCAAAATGTGAAATGCCGGGGGAAGGATTAGATTGACTCAACTCCAACTCTCACACAACTATGCACAAGTAACTGTGAGTAAAATGTGAAAAGGGAAAGTAACTAAAATGTTTGCATCATAATTGGTTCCCCAATTCTATTACGTGAGAGTCAAATTCGTCAAAAGTCTATTATCATTTGCTCGAATGTTTCATAAGCGATCACTTTTCGACAATCCTGTCATCAAGGTTTGAGTGCTTGCACAAATTATTTCTGAGCACACAGCAGGACAGGGGGGATGTGAAGATCCGTTCGCGACCGTCTCCGCTGTGCCTAGAATACGAAACCGCATGTGTCTATAGACCGTCCAATTTAAGCTCACTACAGACGTCCGAAAGCTTCGGTCGCGTTTACGGTGTGATATGTCAACAACCGCACTTATGAGTGACTTAATTAGTCCACTTCTCAACCACACGGAGTGATACCGGCGTATACACTAGTCGTGGAGCCAACATGCTTTACTCTACAGAGGTAAGTGAAAGAGTGAGGGCAGCAGAATCCGGCGTTGTATCCTTCATATTGCAAACAATGATTCTCGTGCAGTTAATCCTTTTTTATGTAGATATGGTTTATTTTCTTTCCGTAATTTTATCTTGATAATGCTCTGAGCTTTCTACTTACTCTGTCTCCTTCTTCCTGATTTTTCACCCAAATGCGTAGGCAGAAGAAAGTGGCCAAAATTGTCACACAACAGTGTACAGTTAATTATTGTCCATACCGAACCTAATCAATTTTAAGAAAAAATAATCAACCAGCTGTGACTGGGATTGCGTTAAAAAGAAAATAACAATTGTCTTCAATCTAAAAGTCTCTAAAAATGGATTGAGTAATTTCGCTTCCATGTAATTCGTTCAGAAAATAAATAGATAGTTTGTCGAAAAGGATATCGCTGGAACCGCGCATATCAATCGAACACTATGTACCGCAATGTGAGTGCATGTGTGTACCACAATCTCACAAGTCGGTAACGAACTTACAAAAAATTCCAGATTCCCGGACATATTTGCAAACAGTCCGCCAACCTTCGCAGCCAGATGAATTACATGCGTCGGGCGAATGTGTTCAAAATACTGTTGTGTGGCCTGTGGGTCAGTCAAATTGACATCTCTCGATGAAGCAAACACCCAGTGTTCATTTTCCCGGGCTAGATCATATTCTGGACTGTTCAGAGCTAAACGAATCCCGTGACCGACGAGGCCAGTTCCTCCGGTCACTAGAATCACGTGATTTGTTGCACTGGCACACATGCGAAACCGTTGAAAACAAGGAAACAAGCTGTAAAAACCAAATACGAAACAAAATTAGATGTAGAAAACAAAAGATAGAAAAATGATGAGCAAACAATGAGCAAAAGATGTTAAATTGTACATCACTGTTAGGATAAATACACAAAATGACCATCATTTTTGATGGTATATAACTAAGGCAAACTCTGACTGATCACAGAATCACCCACGGACATGATGCACCAACACAAATTGAGATTACTTTTGTTAGAAACAGACAAAACCGCAAAATTGTTTGACGGGTTTTGTTTTAAAACAACGCTTTCAATCCAAATTCGAATTAGCAGCAGAGCATAAGAAATTCGACTTCAAGAGTGTTAGAACAATAATGTTATTATGGCAAAATTAGTCTAGCATGACCGAAATGGGAAAACAATTTTACGAACGGGATAGTCCGGGGGATATTTTCGATACACGAACATCTACGCAGTGCTGAAAAGATCGAACTGTTTATGGGGGAATAAATAACGTGCTCAACCTTTTGATTGATGCAATTTGTTAGTCACCAGTTTTTTGCACGTGTAATGAACTAATGAGGACTCAACACATTCCGCAATCTCGCTGAGCATCACAGATTTTCGAGAAAAGATTTAATAAAGCAAGAAATAAAACGGGTCAGAAGCGATCTGATTTACCAATGCACTTGACATTTACAATACGAAGAAACCCAATGGCAAAGCTTACGTTTATTTATTTTATTTAAACACGTAACCAATTACAGAGAACTGCCAAAAGTGACACAACACATGAACAAAAAGAAATCTGAAGAACGTGTTCATAGGTTGTGTGGGCATGTTACTTCCCGGTGGCCCTGGCCAAGGAAGGGGGACAACCTCGGGGTCCCCACCCTAAGTCTTTGGCTAGAAAGCCAGACCTGCAAGACAACAGGACGGAGCTCAGAGTCCGTAATCCATTGGAGCCGGTGTTCAGTTCATCGGATCATACGCCTTTTGAACGGCGTCAAACGTCCAAGGTGCCCAATGCACCTCGATCCCCAATCGAGCCGGTGACCACTGCCACAACCAGGAAGGTGTGTGTGGTTCGTACGCCTCCTCATGGTTAGTTAGGAATCAGGGTTTTTGGTCAACTCCCCTAGGTGAACTTCCAGTGGTCCACCAATCCGGTTATAGCCCCGGATGTAGGCTTTTCGCCCTCTCACTTTGGTGGAAAACACCTCTGCCACGAGAAGCCAGTGAGCAGGGTTCTTCAGCATAGGCTATTTGAGACGCTTGGTCTTATGGGAGCATCTGGCGAGCTGCAAGGTACGGGTGACCAGCCGCAAACCTGGCCACCCACCCCCGACTATGCTGAGTCTTTCGGAGGCTTACATTTAGGTGAAACTGACTGTCGAAACGAAACAGACCAATAAAAGACACTATCAGAGGACAACGGTGGCACATAAACGAAGGATGAATAGACAGGTTTCAGGGACACAAAATTTTATTCCCAATTCAATCAGAGTATCAAATCCAGCGATTAATGGCTGATGGGGACGTGAAGGCATCACCCGTACATCGGTGCAAATTCTGATGATGGTGAAGTTTGATCAAACGAGGAGCATACCACAAAGGTTAGAATAAGTTAATCTCATTAAGGCTTAATAGCCCATAGTGATAGACACAGAAGAGAGCGTCATTACCTGGTCAAGCGGTCTAAGTAGCTCTTGCTGGTGCTTTGGACTCCAGGATCCGTGTTTTGAAACCCGTAATCGCCATCGTTGTCGCCGGGCTCTATACGACGCTTATGCCAGCCGGGCCACATGTAGCTCGCCACTCGGAGCGTCCCACACTGATTCCCATGCGGTCCTAGGGACTGCTGTTCATCACTAAATAGCGCTTAGTTACAAAAACGATCCACACACAGTGGAGATTGCATCGTATTTGGACCCGGTCAAAGAAGTGGAAGCAATCATGATAGGTGGACACAAGGCGTGGAACACTGAAACCAGCTTATATGTGTGATGCTAAACCTACCATTCTACATGTCAACTTGGAAAACCCCTGAGGGTCCGTTCTGAGAATACCGAATGTGTGCTCCTAAACAAGAGATAGTAAAAAAAACAGTCCTGAACGGCGATGCTCACAATATTATCGAGATTATCAATCATTTTGGCATAATTTATTCTCCCATCAGTGACATATTTGTGATCGCAGAGTTCTTCAAACATGCGTTCATTCCATGCAAATCTTTCAATCATTCTGGCTCTGTGTAATCAAAGCACCGAATTCAGACTATACACATATCCATAAAGACTATATCACAGCTCTTGGGATGGATCCATTTTGAAAGAAGTGAGAGCCGTTTAACTGTATGAATAGGAAGCTCACATATACAAACAGAACACATTTGGGATTACGCAACCTACCACACAGAGAGCGAGGAAACGGTTGACAATCAATAAATTATCAAATCTCCATTAAACGAGGCTTTAACGAACAACCCGTTTCAAATGGGAATTTATCGTATATATGGCAAATGAAGCGCGTAGTGAAAAGCTAGGAAGCACTGGACAGTTGTTTCGACCTGGTTGGGTCTCATCAGCAGTGCGAACCCATCGATCCAAGCGGGAATCGAACCCGGGACTTCATGGGCAGAACGCAATCATGCTACCCACTACGCCACCGAGCAGCTGATCAGACCTTTTCCCATTTACACAGCTCATCTTTGCGAGCTTGTTGCGGGCCATAGACCAACCAGNAGGTCAAAACAGCTGTCTAGTGCTTCCTAGCTTCTCAGTTCACGCTTCATTTGCCATAGACACGACGAATTCTCATTTGAAATGCAATTAAATCCTCCATTACGCACATGGAACAACAAGTTTATCGATAAATTACGAATAAGCAACAAGATGGACTAATGAATCCATCTTATCCTCATGTAAAAATTATATAATGTGTTGCATTCAAGTAGACTGAGATCACATGATTTCGAACTATATTTTATTTGCGCTTTTCAAACCTGCAAGATTCTAGTTTCCGGCTATTGCATTCAATGATGAACCGGTTAGAAACATTCGCCTGTTACTGGTAGAATCCTGAACACTGGGACCCAAAACAATGGCCCTATGAGGTATCATTTGCTGACTATTCTTGATCCATTGTAATACCAAGAACGTATGAAACACTTAGACAGTTCAATAAGAAGCGACGTCAGTGGTCCCTTCCAAACAACTGGTAAACTTGCACCCATCAGCAGTGAACCCATTCTCGCCGATACTACTACCAAGGATTTCAATAGTACACAGTGGATTTCGTTGTGTAAAGAGCAAACGAAGCGTACACCTAAAAGCTAGGAAGCACTGCACCACTGTTTCGACCTCGTTGGGTCTCATCTGCAATGCGAATTTATCGCGAGACCTCACGGGTAGAAAGCAAGTATACTACCCACCGAACAACTGATTAGACTGTTTTTTCACTTTGTTTTCACACGGCACAGCACAACCCATCGTTGTAAGCTTGTTGTGGGCATCACACCTCGTGCATTTCAGCACTAGACTCCGGTTTTATGACTGGGTTGGAAACGTTCCAACTTGGCTGCTTATTGCATGAGAGTAATGGAGGATTTGATTCCATCGCATATTGGATTTCATCGAATATAGATAGAGTAAACGACGCGTAAACTGAAAAGCTAGGAAACAGTGTACGAAATGCTCATTCAACAATATCGATTTACCGTGAAATGAAACCGACTAACACAACCACTATCAATTACGCCATCCAATATGTTAAATGAAAAAAAAACAGGTAACCCCACTGATATTACGCTGTTTGAACTATAACCCTCCGTACATGAATCAATATTCCAGTTTATTTTGAGAATTACACGATCAATCGGCATGTTCAGTCTTATGCAAATATGAGACAGACACGGGAATGACCGACTCATATTTGTTTATCGACTGATCAAAACAATTTGAGAGCAAAAATGCTCTCATCCATTCAAATGGAAAAGTCCGTTTCGCTCAATTATCACAACCCTATTACTCAATTTTATTCAATACACAAATGTGAAACAAGTTTCAAGAAGCGGGTGGGGAGCTACAATTATTAGGGCGCTACTTGGGGACACATAGAAGCGAAAAGTCGGGCGGGGTGGTGGGATCTGAATACTCGTTCGCTGAGACGACAATTTGGTGACCGTTACCGTTTGCCCACTACGATTTAAATGAACATTCACAGGTTTTAAATAAAGCAGCTTACTTCAGGAGCTGGTGACACAAAATTAGTCGCCCCCTCCTACCCAAAAGATTTTTCATAACATTGTATTTTTTTACAAATCATTGCATTCACAATGTCAAAAGCACCACCAGACTGTGCCAGCAGAATCAAGTTTTGCCGAAACGATACTCAGCGTTTTCCTTTCGATGTGGGAATGACCTCGACAGATCAAACCAGCTGTTATAACAACCAGTAAACACTGATGTAGATTTAACCTGTTAGAGATGATCAATCATGAATAGTAAATTTTCTGTCGGTTCCGAGTTCAAATATCGAGGTCGGTGCTAACGTCACCAAATCATCACCCCGGAGGGCGATTGTTTCGATCCAACCACTACCGTCTAACTTTCCCCAGTATTTTTATATGACAGCTCTTTGATTGATCGCTTCCCACTTCCTGAAAATTGTATTGTATTGTATATCCAATAAATGGAAGTAAAAATGAAAGAAGCAACAGAATCTATAAATATATATTCTATTTATAATTAAACTACTCTATGTAAATCAGTAGTAAACAATCGGATGAAAGAAATTGATCCAATCTGATAATGGGAGTTAGCATGACCGCCAACGAATCATTCAGCCCACCACACACATACACAGGGACACATACGATAAAATATCCGTTAACTTGTGATCCTTTCCTCTGAGTCATTTGATTGTAAAACCTGCCTTGAGAAAGGTTAGCCACGGTAATCGAAACGTCGACGAATATAATTCTCTACCGACATCGCTGTGTCATTAACAATATGACATTCACAATAAAATGTAAGATCACAGAAAACGAACTGCAGCTGATCAGGGAAAATCACAGCTGATCAAGCACAGATAACGCATTCCAGCTTAGCTGAAACGATCAGTCTCTCGAAAAAACCTATTTATCCACAGTAATAAGTTCGACAGCTTTTGTGGCGATACTCCATGCAGTTATGGAGCGTGAACAACCACTATCAGTGCTCCGAGTTTGGTAGCTATTTATCAACTGCCCACTTAAGTTGACTCGGTTAATCGTTTTCGTATAAGTACGATAAATGTCATTCTACTCACAAAACGTTAACCGATAACCGCACAGTATGAACTGAATTTCGCTTTCCCATTCTTTTTTGGTCATTTAGTTAATTAGTTGATTTGTGTACAGGGAGGCGGTCATAAAGATTTACCCAAGTGGATTTCACTTTGCGACGACGGTGCTGATCGAATCAACCACCAAACAGTAAGCACGAAGCTGATTACCACGTAGACGAAAATATGACTGTGATCAAGGAGAGGTTGGCAATCTGCTACTGTGATTCGGGTTAGGACAGCTTCCGTTGGGGTGACCAGATGCGAGATGGTATGTTGCTATCAAAAATAAATTTCCTGGTTTGTGACGCAAGTTCGAGGTGAATCAGTATCGCAAAATAATTAACTTGGCCTTTGAGGTATCTTAACTTTAGTTTATTGATCTTATGGTATCGATCATGGGCACGATCTGCTGAATGGGAAAAACCACATGCATTCATAACATCCGGAATATACAATGCCGTTTTAATCGGAAAAGCGGTCTCAGAAACAAGCTGTTCTTATGCACCGAGTGCACACAGAACCCAGACTTAGAAAAATGTTTCTTTATTAACAAACAGCTAATCAACAGTTTCAGGCGAAAGAAAAAAATTCAACGGAACTTTTGTTTCCGGGACTTGTATCGATTCAAGTCAAGTAAACGCTCTGTGTACCTGAATGTGAATTTTAGACAATTTTGGCGTAAAAGTTCGATCGTGAACACCCGGTGCAAGAACGCTTTGTGATGAAAGGGAGAGCAGAAAATAAGAAAAAGAAAGATTAGCCATTAGCTAGATGAAACTTAGCAAGGATCCCCGAAGTCTTCTCTAATCATTAGACAAGCAAAAAGCACATCAAACGGTATCGAGTGTATTTCCTGGTGGTAAAACGAACAGCAGACTACCTACCGCCGACATACAGTGAAGTGAACTTGACTGGTCGCTGCTAAACTCACAACGCATAGAAACGCAGTGAGAATATGCAAAGTGGACAGGGATTGGGCCTATTTAGAGTGGGNTTTTAGGGGGGGGGGGGGGGAGGGAAAAAGTGAACCACTTTGATCAGTACAGTATACAATCGAACTGGGCATACACACCTTTTCATGCATTCTGACCTGATAAGAAATGACAAGAACACCACTGTTGCCGGATTGCTGCCATATCCCTCTGTGTCTTCAACCAACCGGTTGTGGTTATTTGGAATTCAACCTAGAAGGCAGGAGACACTTACTCTACGCAATAGCTCAGTGTATTTATTCATGTCTTGTCTCCACGTCATCT